AAGTCTAATCAACATCAATATTTCCACTAAATAAGAGGCAAAAAAAACAAAACAGTTTGATAGAGGAAAAGCCTTTCAGACTCTGCGCTCAATGCATCAAACTTTTTTTTTAAATTAGACAATTAATTTAATTTCACATAATTATCGCGGTAGCAGCCATTTGTTTGTTAAATACTTAATGAAACATATTTACCGTGTTTGATGTTTGTTGTAAATGACGTATACTCACAAAGAACGTGGTAATTAGTCCAAGTTTGTTGTTTATTGAACGTTCAGAAACCACAGCGGCTGTGATGCGCAACTGCAAAGGTAAAACAACCCGAACAGGTGATCAACTCAAAACCACTCGCACCTTTTTATTCTCCGTCTCTCTTTGTAATTTAAGCACACCCATTGCCGTGGCAACCGCTTGCGCTCCGCAAGCCGAGCAGACAAAACATAACATTCAGTCCGTTACGATATTAGGTTTTCAGGTTTGATATTTATTTTGCGATAATTAATAAGCTCTCCCCTGAACACAGAGGTGGTTGATTAGTTAATTTTAAACTCCTGCTCTGCTAGTTATTTTGGTAATGGAAGCAAAATGCATAGATTTGCGCAACACCTTGTAGAAACAATAATTACTGAGGTTATTGCTTTTGTTGGGTCATAATTTGAACACGTTTTGTTGATTTTTATTTCTGTTCTTTAATAAAGTTACGAACATTCAGAGGAGGATGTGCTGCTCTCAGCGTCCTGGCAGTGTTCAGTTTGTCACCTAATGCCGAGTTCGACTCGAAACCTTCCGTGACCAACGTGTTGCAGCCCTGCTCTAGTAAAGTACGAAAAGTTCAGAAACAATATGAAATGGGGAAAAAAGCTATTTATTAACCAAGTCGTGTTTTAGATTGTTCTTGAAAAACGAATCTGTCACAGCTGATTAGTTGGTGCACTCATGGCTGCACAGTGAACCCGTTGATTCTTTACAGCAGACAGCCGCTCCTCTCTCTTGCAGGTACTGCGAANAAGTTATGAACATTTTGATTAGGAGTCAGAGGAGGATGTGCTGGTCTCAGTGTCCTGGCAGTGTTCAGTTTGTCACCTAATGCCGAGTTCGACTCAAAACCTTCCGTGACCAACGTGTTGCAGCCCTGCTCTAGTAAAGTACGAAAAGTTCAGAAACAATATGAAATGGGGAAAAAAGCTATTTATTAACCAAGTCGTGTTTTAGATTGTTCTTGAAAAACGAATCTGTCACAGCTGATTAGTTGGTGCACTCATGGCTGCACAGTGAACCCGTTGATTCTTTACAGCAGACAGCCGCTCCTCTCTCTTGCAGGTACTGCGAACCCCTGCTAAATCTTTTACGGGTACGCAGACCCAACCGTACCCTCCTACTTTTACCTCTGAGTGTTCATTCGGATTACTTTGTTTGTAAGCCTGCTCGCAGAAATGCTAACTGCAGATTGTCATGTTAGTTGACATACTGTTTGTGGCAAAATCTTGCCTTCCCACCTGCATGAATCTCACCTAAGTTTAAAATACGTTTTTTTTCTGTAGTTTTTTTCCCCCTCACCATGTCCAGATCAATTGCAGCCTGAACAGCCTCACATAAACAAGTTTTAACCAACCTGAGCGAACAAAACCTCCTTGAGCTCAGGAGTCAGAGCCGGTGGGCTCCGGTCACCTCCAGTTACGTCACGCAAACTGCACGTCTTTTCAAACCTTTTTTGTTGATTCAACTCTTCAAAACATTCACTGGCTGAAGAGACCAATATTTTTGTACCATTTAAAGGAACTTCAAGTAGGCATTTTAAGCATAATCTGTACAAAATCCTTGAGGATTAGTTGGACATAAAGTTACCAGTAGAGATGATTTGTATTTTTCTGTGTGCCATTAGTCTCCCACAGGTGGCACAAAGGAGAAGAAGGTCACCTGCATGTTCATCCCTGACGGTCAGGTGTCGCTGAATGCAAAAATTGACCGGCGTGGATTCTGCGAGGGCGAAGACATTTGTATCAATGCAAAGTTTGAGAACACTTGCTCACGCATTGTGGTGCCCAAGGCCGCCATCATTGCCAAACATACGTACCAGGCCAATGGCCGCACCAAGGTCTTCCGTCAGAAGCTTTCTTCGGTGCGTGGAAACCATATTATCTCAGGCATGTGTGATGCCTGGCAGGGAAAGACTATCAAGGTGCCAAAGATCAAACCATCCATGCTTGGCTGCAACATCATTCGTGTGGAGTATGCACTAATGGTAAGTCTGCTGTGCCAGTCTGAGTGCTACCCACGTGCTTTTGTTGGGAGAACGTTCCTAATTTATGCCTTCCTCATTCATTTGACAGATTTATGTCCACATCCCAGGTAGTGAGAAGCTAATTCTAGAGCTACCTCTGGTTATTGGAACTGCTGGTCTTGGTAGCCGTAGCAACAGTGTTAGCAGCCAAGAGGGTTCAGTCAGCAATGCGTCTCAGAGTTGGGTGTCCCTCAGGATGCCCTCTGAGCCTCCAAGTTACTGTGACATCACTAAGGACTGCCGTCTGGACCAGCCTCTTACCCCGCTGCTGGATGATGTTGACTGTGACGACAGTCCCATCTTCATGAGTGCACCCAGCTTCCAGTTCCCATCACCTCCAACATACACTGAGGTAGGCATCTCAAGACAAGTTGGTTCGCTTAGTGACATCATTAGACATCGATGCCTGATATTCACTGCAGGA